GGCCAGTCCCGGGCAACCCCGGCATCCAGAAGGCGGGACGTCGGCGGTCTCTGCACCTCCAAGCCGAGCGGCGGCCGGCGGCCCTTGCTCTTTACCACGGCCCGGGCTCTCCGGGGGTGCGGAGCATGGTCCCGGGCCATCGCCGGTGGAGCGAGGATGCCAACAGGGAGGGTGGCGGGCTGGAGGGTGGCGGTTCTGTGTGTGTGGGTCTCCTGTGGCGCTGCCGCGGGACCACTCGAGTACTCAGTGCTGGAGGAGACCCCGCGGGGCGTGGCCGTCGGCAATGTCACGGCGGACCTGAGGCTGTCCGCGGCGGTTCTGTCCCGGCGGAACTTTCGCTTCCTTTCCAGCCACGACGGGCCCTACTTCGGGGTGGATCTGGCCAGCGGTAGCGTGGTGGTCCGAGAGCCGGCGGACCGCGAACGGCTTTGCGGGGCCAAAGCTCCCTGCGTCTTGACCTATGAGCTGGTGCTTGAGGACCCGCTGGAGCTGCACAAGATGCGCATCCGCGTCCTGGATATCAACGACAACGCGCCTCTCTTCCCCGCCCGCGACGTGCAGCTGCACATCCCCGAGTTCCTGGCGCCGGGGGCCCGTTTCACCCTCCCCAGCGCCCAAGATGCCGATGAGGGAAGCAACGCGGTGCTCAGCTACAGCCTGAGCCCCAGCCAGCACTTCCGCCTGGACGTGGGGTCGCGGGCCGACCGCAGCGAATTCCCAGAGTTGGTTCTGGAGAAAGCTCTGGATCGCGAGGAGCGCGCCACCCACAGGCTGGTGCTCACCGCTCGCGACCGCGGGCGGCCCGCACGCTCCGGGGACGCGCAGGTCACCATCACTGTGGTGGACACGAACGACAATGCGCCTGTATTTGAGCGCACGGTGTATCGCACCAGGGTGCCAGAGACTGTACCCAACGGGACCGTGTTAGTCCGAGTGCAGGCCTCGGACCCGGACGAAGGCTCCAATGGGGAAGTCCGGTACTCCTTGAGCAGCAGCACGCAGGCAAAGCTGCGACATCACTTTCACGTTCATCCTAGAAATGGGGAGGTGCGGGTAGCAGCTTTGCTAGGTCCTCCTGACACGCTGCTGGAGGCATACATCGAGGCGAGGGATGCGGGCGCCTTCGGGCTGGCCAGCACCGCCCAACTGCTGGTGGAAGTGACCGACGTGAACGACCACGCCCCGGAGGTGAGCCTGCTGACTCTCTCCAGCCCCATTTCCGTTTCCGAGGGCACCGCCCCGGGCACAGTGATTGCTCTCCTCAGTGTGAGGGATGAGGACCTTGGTGCCAATGGGAAGGTCGTTTGTAGCATATCCAATGGAGGCCCTTTTAAGCTGAAGGCTTCTTTGGACAATTACTACAGTTTGCTCACGGATGGGCCCCTGGACCGGGAGCAGGTCAGCGAATACCAGGTCCTGATCACCGCCTCAGACGGTGGCTCGCCACCACTGAGCACCCGCAGGACACTGACTGTGTCAGTGGCTGATGTGAATGACAATGCACCAAGCTTTTCTCAACCCCAACAGGAACTTTCTGTGGCTGAAAACAATGGCCCGGGGGCCTCTCTAGGCCGCGTGTTTGCCCAGGACCCAGACTTAGGGAACAATGGCCTTGTCTTCTATGAGCTGTTGGGTATTAGCTCTGAAGGGCAGACAGCCGCCAGCTGGGTGGCAGTCGGATCAACCAGCGGGGCGATCACTGCCAAAACTTCCTTTGACTTTGAGCAGCTCAAGGAAGTTCACTTTCAAGTGGAAGCCCGGGATGGGGGCATTCCTCCCCGAAGTGCAACCGTGACTGTGAACTTGTTTGTGGTAGATAGGAACGACAATGCTCCCGTCATCTTGTTTCCCGTGACCAGAAGTGGGACCGTCCCAGTGGAAATCGTGCCCCGCTCTGCCAGAACCGGACACTTGGTCACCAAAGTCGTCGCGGAGGATGCAGACAGTGGCTCCAACGCCTGGCTTTCCTACCACATCTCCCAGGCTTCGGACTCGAGCCTTTTCAGAATTTCAGCCAACATGGGAGAGCTCCGTACTGCCCGCTCAGTTCTTCCCACTGATGCAGTGAAACAGAGGGTGGTAGTAGTGGTTCGGGACCATGGAGACCCACCACTCTCCTCCTCTGTCACACTGGGTGTGCTGTTGAGCAACTCCGTTCCTCAGGTCCTTCCAGACTTTGAAGATGCCTGGGAAACAGGAGGGCACTTTTCTGCCCGGAACCTGTATTTAGTAATTGCTCTGGCCTGTATTTCCTTTTTATTTCTGGGGTGCTTACTTTTCTTTGTGTGCATCAAGTTGAGCCAGAGCCCAGGTTATTGCTCTCAGAGCAGCTGTTGCTCTCCAGAGGAGCTGAGGAATGGAAGGGAGGTGACTTCGAATCCTTGCATGGCATCAGCCACAATAGATGTCACTACAGTCGAGAGACTTTCTCAGACCTATCTCTATTGGGCCTCCCTGGGACTTGGTTCTGATAATAACAGTTTGCTCTGGCGTGGGGAGTGCAGTGCTGCTGACCTGAGAAATCTGGCCACTGGGGTAGGACTGAATTTGCCAATATCCTGTATTCAGATTCGGAATAGGAAAGAGCACGTAAATGTCAATGCCGTGGTAAGTAAATTTTGTGGGATTTGATTTTCTTAGCCAGGCGATGACTGGCAGATGTTTTTTAAATGTTTATTAGATGATCCTTGGGCAACATTTAATGCATTGAGTTGAACACTCCTGCTTAGAACTCCTTGTGCTAAGAATTCTGGGAGTATAAAAGTATTAAAAGACTGTTCTTGACCTCAAGGAGATTATAGTTTATTTTTGAGAAGCAAGGGTAAGAAATTAAACCCACTAAAGAACAATAAAAGTAATATAGCATGAAGATATAAAATTAAAAATAAAAAGCACCAAAATGCCTAGTATAGGTAATAAATGACCGGAAATGTTTTTAAATCATTCCTTTTAGGGATTTCTTTAAGAAATTACTTAAAGCAAATATCCCTTCATTCAAAAATTACTCTGAGTAAAAGATGTGTAAGACATAAAGTGGGAATGAAAAGTATGTGAGTTTTTGCATAGTACAAGCTTAATATCATGGAAGATGAGACATTTACTTAAACTTTACAATAGATGAGTAAAAATGGTGATAACCTAAAAAGGTGTAAAAATAAGTTGCAATGGATGTTCAAAGAAGGGAGAGATAGAACATGAGAGAATATGTGGGCATGGAGGAGGGAATCAGAGAAGGCTTTGTGATAGAGATGGCGTTTGATTCTTGAATGACATACCATCTAGTAAAATGCAGCATAGGCCATCCTTTACATGAGTGCCTTTTGGCAAAGCAGTCTTTTTTGAGAACAATACTCCACAACATAGCTAATAGCTCCACACAATATTAGTGAGTTCATAGAAATCATAAGCATGTCTCAGAACAGCTATTTGTATTGATAGAAAGATGGTGGCATTGTGCATAGGACTTGACAACTTTTTGTGTGTGTTTTATTGATATGCTAGAGGCCTGGTGCACAAATTCGTGTACGGGTGGGGTCCGACCAGGCTGGCCAGGGGGAGGGGCTGTGGGCAGTTGATGGGCCAGCCCTGCCCCCTGGTCAAACTCCTGGGACAATTTGCATATTTGCCTTTTATTATACAGGATTTCATAAGAAAGATGAGTAATTGTTATGTCAAAAACCGGTGTTTTCAAAGGTGCACTTACCATTCAAAGTCCATTCAACTTGGATTTACTATTCTTATTATTTTAGAAGCCAATATACTTAGAAATAAATAAATAAATACCATATTTGAATGTTAAATTATTTAAATACTTCCATTTATCCTTAGTGCCTCTTGGCATTACAAAACTTTTTGAAAGGAATGGTAGCAATTGAGCTAGCAGTTTTACAATATTCTTTCTAACTTCTCACAGAAATCATGAATAGAAGGGAAGGAGGTGTGCAGAAATTAGGGGGAATGGAAGATCCTTGTTTTACTATTCTAGGTAATAATGGGAAAAGTGGGTTATGTTATTTTACTTCAAATAATGATGTTAACTGAAAAAATAGATTTATACCATTATAATTTTGCATGTTTAATATTCTCACAAGATATAATAAAATCCAGCACATATTATATGATTAGTAAGTACTTGCTGAATGAATAAAAAATTTGTGCATGTATGAATTGGATGTTAACACTGTTCAGCATAGAGGGAAAAACTTTAACTTACTTTACATGTGTATATATACCTAACTGTTTAAAGATCATTTTTATATAATAATGAAACAACATAAAGGCATTTTATGATCCTAAAGCTAACATGAAAAACCTCAATGCTGTATTCTGTGGATAACAAAGTGATTAGTAAGAATGCACATCATTACATGTGAAATTTGCAGTGAATTTAAATTAAATACAATTAATTTAAAGGGAAAAATTGATGCATAAAATGTTAATATTTCAAGTATTAAAGCATAAAACTCTCATCATTTATTTCTTTTATTTTATTGCTTCTGTAACAAATAGAGATTTGGATACAAGTAATGTCTATGAAGTCTGGGGGTCAGGAATGGTTTGAGAAACACATTTTGACTAGATTCGAAAGGTAATATAAGTGATAAGAAAACCAATGGATCTGGAAGTTAGAAGGAAAAACAGCTACTCAGAAGGAAAAATATAGCTATCCCCAAGACCAAATTTTTACTAACATGAGTGATAAAGTAACAGAAATGTACTATTCATGCATGCAGGAATATTGTGTCACCCCATTCATCCAGTTGAAGTCTTTTCCATCATTGTTGATATTGCACTTATTAAGCAGTTCATTGTCTGCCAATAATTTTTGTGGGTTGGATATTTCCTGATATATAAAGAAAGTGTGATGCACTAAAACATGGGTAAAGTAACTTTTATAAAGCTGGAATAATAATTTTAATGTGTGCCCGAGTCATACAGAATCATATTGATTCATGTGTTTATAGTCTGTTCAAATTCTAAGCTTTTCTATCTTATTTTATTTTTAATTTTTTTAAAAAATGTATTTTATTGATTTTTTTACAGAAAGGAAGGGAGAGGGATAGAGAGTTAGAAACATTGATGAGAGAGAAACATCAATCAGCTGCCTCCTGCACATCTACTGGGGATGTGCCCGCAACCCAGGTACATGCCCTTGTCCGGAATCAAACCTGGGACCCTTCAGTCCACAGGCTGATGCTCTATCCATTGAGCCAAACTGGTTAGGGCTCTATCTTATTTTAGTTTAAAATACTTAAATCTATCAGTTTAAGAAACTTGTGGCCCTAACAGTTTGGTTCAGTGGATAGAGCGTCAGCCTGCAGACTCAAGGGTCCCAGGTTTGATTCTGGTCAAGTGCATGTACCTTGGTTGTGGGCACATCCCCATTAGGGAGTGTGCAGGAGGCAGCTGATCAATGCTTCTCTCTCATCGATGTTTCTGGATCTCTATCCCTCTCCCTTCCTCTCTGTAAAAAATCAATAAAAAATATTTTTTAAAAATGAGTTCCGGCCTGCCCTTTAAAAAGAATTTATGAAAACATTTATATTTATGTCTTTCCTATTGATAATATTTGACAGCTATAAAGAAAATTGGCCCACTGTGCAACAAGCAGACAACATGTGTCTCATGTCAATTTTTTCTGTTAAGATTCTTGATGGGCAATTTAATTTTTTTAGGTTGTTATCTAAGATGGCCTCTGAGATAGAAATTTCTACTTAGAATTTAAAATTAATGGCAAATTTTTAGATAATATTTTGTAATAAAACACACAGTGGTGCACAAACTGAGTTTATTAAATATTCCACATTAAAATGATAACCTTTTTAAAGTATATTTTTAAAGATTTCAGAGAGGAAGGGAGAGGAAGAGAAAGATAGAAACATCAATGATGAGAGGGAATAATTGATTGGTTGCCTCCTGCACATTGGACTGAGCCCACGACCCAGGCATGTGCCCTTGACTGAAATCGAACCTGGGACCCTTCGGTCCGCAGGCTGACGCTCTATCTACTGAGCCAAACTGGTTAGGGTGAAAATGATATCTTGAACATACCAGTGTTATATTAGTCTATTGTTCTTCCAGAATTATAGTGTTTCTTTTGTAGGATATATAGCATATAAAATATTTCCTCTTTGCAGTGTCATTTATTAACAGAGTGGTAGGATGTTTTTGGTATTGTAGGTGTTTTTATTTGTTAACAATATTCCATAAGTAGACTTTTCCATAGGCTAATTAGATGTTTCCTTATATTTATTTTAACTCTGAAGCTGATAACCACACTTTGAAAAACTTTAATGTCCTGTAAGTAAGGAAGCTTGCATGGCATATGAAATATATTCAGATTTAAAAAAATACCATGGAGACAGTATAATAGTATTCGTTGTCTAATAGAGAAACCTCAAATTATTAAAAAGGAAGGAAAAGAGCATTATATAACTGAGTGGACAGAAGGAAAAAGTAATGCCTGGGAAAAGTGTGAGTGAGAAAGTTTTAATAATACGTCTGATAATATTAATGACCTATTGATTTTTGTTGTCTTCAGTATTTGCAGAAGTGGGAAACAGTAATATTTCAAAGACTAAAAACACTTAGTTGTGTTGGGATAAAGGTGGACTAAGTTGCTAAAAGGTTTTTACGTTGCTCAATTGCATATGACGTGAATATCAGAAATAACATTTGGCAGAACGTCAAGTGAATATGGATACAGTCTAGGATTTCAACTAAAGTATTATGGGAAGTAAGACTTGTGGGTAAGGATTATTCTAAAAAACCTAAAGTAAATGATACATTTTGTTCCTAATTTTAACTTATGAGATGAGAATGGTTTGGGGCATTAATAAATTACATGTCTCTTTTATACTGCATTTATGAAAAAGAATTAGGATAATAATTTCCTCCTCAAGCATTATAAACACAGAAGGTCATTACGCATTCATCTGGAACTTGCCTTGGAATCTAGGAATGAATATGTAGTCACAAAGCCTTCTGAGATGC